ATTCAGAAGGAACATTTAACCCAGTCTGACAGGACATAAAATAGTTGTACATATTTCAACAGGCAAATCCACCAAGAAAACGTCCAACTGAACCAATTAGTGTCATTTTCACCACATTCCAGGTGAGACCTCATCAGAATCCACGCCATTTTCCAGCCATCACTTATTTTAACCAAGATAATTCTGAAAGATCTACCTGGCTACTCATTACAAGTTTGTGTGATGATAGAGGCAACCATTCAAACTCATACAAATGGCTTCAAACATCACTCACCACGAACTATAAAACTTTCTGAGCAAGGCATTAACTTGGAAGAGACACAAGTTTAAGGTGATATAATGAGAATGTAGTTATTTAATACCCAGTATTACTCAGTGCAAGATCAGACAGAAGAGGGGCAAGGAAGCACCGTATTACTGGTATCATGTGAGAAATGTTAAGGGTCTGGCATTGCTTAGTGTCAAGGGAAGTAAAGCTGAAGCAAACCGTAAGTGCATGTCCAGAATAAAAACTTGCAGAGCAAGTGAGGCATCATTTTGGTATTTCACTATTATTCAATCACAGCTTGATTGAATACAAGGAACTCCTGTATGACGTTTTTCATAGGATATGGGCAGAATTCAGCAAAAAAAGTGAGGTTTTCCCATTGTTGATATACATTCCTTTTATGTGTAGAACAATGTACTCCTCTAGGTGTTTCACATTGAGAATATTTTGTTTATCACATATAATTAATCCTTTGTCTTTGCTGATTTACTGTTAACAATTCAGCTACAGTAATGGAGAAAATTCCAGTAAATTACTTTATTTATAGAAACTCTCAGGATTTTCCAGAAATAAGTGGCAATTTGCCTTTATCAACTTTATTCCTGTTTTAAGAACTCAAGAAATACAAGGCAAAGTATCATCTTCAAAGACTGGGAAAGCATTTTACATCACTCAGCGTACCTGTTTACTGCAATTAATTTGAATCACAAAGCTTGATACAAGGGAAACAATAGTAATTTGCTATACTTGCTGCATTGTTATTAAAATATCTCATTTTCACCTGTTCTTTTACAAGTCAGCATTAACCCCTCACATTCCTCTCCCTACTATTGAACATACATAGCTAGCAAAAGCCAGCATAAGAATTTTTGCCTAAAGCCACCAAAAATGAACTTCTGGGTGTATCACACTCTGCAAGACACAGATGCATAAATTCAGACTACACACTTTTAAAAACTCAGTCTCTTATTTGGACTACAAGGACAGCAACTCAGCGAAAAAATGACTAGTTATGGGCATACTACAATGAAAAGCAAAATTTTGTATATACATCCTGCTGCAGCTACTTTGTATTTATTTACTGAATGTATGGTCTGGGAGCAAGTGGACCCTGTTAATACTGACGGCTTTAAGTTTTAGCTTTCCTATTTTTTGGATTCTGTGCTGTCTAGGTGTAGTTTTGAGCTTCATACTAAGTGTTAGTGAGCTCTCTTCACAGAGTAGGTAGACAAAACAATTCCTCTTCTAGTTTGATAGCAAGTACAATCATTACAAGTTTCAGGCCCAAAAGCATAAACAAGTGGATTGAAGAGAGAAAAAAAAGAAGGAACAGATTTCATAATCTAAGATGCAATTGGACAATTAACCCAAATATGCAGATGGACCAAAACTTATAAAATGATTAATAAACAACACCCTAAAGAGCTCTTTATGCATGTGGTGCAAGTCAGGTAATCTGACTGCAGGTGATCTGCATCTTTACATATAAATTGTATGACAACACCTGCCTGGAATTCCTGTTGGATTATAGTGGTCCTTACTAGGACCTGTGACTGGTAACCATTTCTAAAGCATTTAGAACCTACATGCAGAAACACTGCACAAAGTCTCTGTTTATTGTATTTACAATTTCATGCAAATTCTGCATATTTCTTTTGTACATTCTTAATGTGAAGAGCATTTTATTTCACATATGCATTTTATCTTACCTAACCAACCACGATGCAGATTGATGACTTTCAGACATGACCAGTTATATATCAACTTCCAATATTACAAAGACTTTCTCCCAAATCTAGATTGGTTTAGCTACCTCAGTGACTTCAGAACTGTGCCTTTACCACTTAAGGTATTATTCAGACCTATTCACACTAATTCAGAACTGTGCTTATCACTTAAGCACCAAATTGAATACTGATGAAATTTTCTGTATCTCCTAACAGTCCAGAGAAACTCTCTAGAGTTTTAAGTCCTCTGTTAATATTCCACATTTTGAACAGACAGGATACTTTTTTTGATACTGACTTGTGATGTCAACACAGAACAAAAAGAGGAGATGTTTCTCTGACAAACTTCATGAGGCTACAGAGAAGGTGACAGCCAGATGAGAATGAAGCTCCCGGGTCACTGAGAGAGAAAGGACAACAGCTGAGTCACTCCTTCTCTGCAGCAATGGGAAAAGCAGCCAGAAAATAGAAAGAGAGATGAGGCAGCACAATGTGATAGGCGAACATTTCCAGTCTAATGAATCATGTCCCCCAGCATGGGAACAACACCCTACAAGTAATTCCAACATCCCCTTCTCAGTAGCTTTTGAGACTGACACCAGCAAACCATCATCTTCCAAGTATTTTATGCTGCTTTCCAGCTTTCTGGACATTAAAACCTGTACAGACTTTGCACTATCACAAAAGATAACGAAAGTGACTTCAAACAAGTATTTTTTAACTTCTTTACTCCTCAAATTTTTATTACATCCATAAAGCCTGGAGCAATGGCACTGATTCAATAGCACTAAAATACTATGAATAGGGGTATTGAATCAGCACATACCTTTCTCTCCTTTAGGAGGTTAGACTGTGGCAGGACATGGTTTCCAGCATTTCAATCAGTTTTTGAAAATTAGAAAAAAAATGGATTTATTAGCTTTGTCTAATTGGTACACATTTCCTTACCAGACCTTATTAGGTGTATTTCAAGTAATATCTCAGCTGTAATTAAAGTATGATGTAAGAGCAGTCTTAATTCTTTCTGCATTAAGTGTTACTTCAGGCCTTTATCAGCAAGATAAAATTACTCGTTTCATTTAAGATAACTTCCCCCAAAGATAATACTTTTCAGATGATAAAATTGTTTTAAATAATTGCTATCTAAATTAAGTTGGACTCCCACAGTAAACCAGGAAGTTATATAGATTTTCTTCACATTAGAATAGAAATTGCTTCCCAAAAGGCATAAATTCTCAGTATTCACAGAACTCACCCTGCACCTAAAGCTCAAACCTGTGAAAAGCATGCCTGCCCAAGGAACAAAACTGCCATTAAACCCTCCTTCTCTGAAACATCTACTGACATTGTAAAATGTGTTACAAAAAGTCAAGATACATTTGACAATTCTGAAAACATTCTAAAAAATGCTATGAAATACCAAGTGTTCTGAGATCACTGCTCATTGAACTGAGAAGAAAACAGAATGAGATTTTCCCATTCTGGTATCATTTTCCTTGCTGACACATGCAGTTATGTCTGTCCACCCCTCCTACTGTCCAACAGTTCGTACAGATGCCACCATCCTTCCACCAAGTTTCACCACAGTAAAGGACCAAATAGAAACTTAGAGAAAAACTTTCACGTAATTTGGCTTTTAAGTAGCTCATGTCATTTTAATCAGCAATTACATCTGATGAAAACACGTAAATGTTCTCAAATTGATTTACTTTATCACTGATTTATCAAGTACCCATCACACATTCAAAACAAACTTCCACTTCTGTAAAAGCTGTGACAGAGACAGGAATAAGTCTTTACAATAGGCACAATCATGATCAAACGACATTGAAACTGGACAGCCAAGGCAAACAAGTCCAAACATACTTCCTTTGGGACTATATACAAGCTTGAAGTCCATGTGACTTGGGCACTACTTAAAAAATCTTTTCAGACTTGAATCAGCCATTGCTTTGCAGAAAACACATTATGAATAGAAAATTACAGTTGCTTGACTTACTTAGAGCAGAACAGGAAGAAAACCTATGCCATGTTGGATGTATTACTTTTGCCATATGTACATATTTATCTCACTTGTGCAAGTCAAAGTAATGATGGTCAGCATGTGCTTTTTCACAACAAGTACACTTTCTAGGACATGTCTGAATTACCTGGATGATCCAATTTAATTAAATTATTTTCTTACAATGGGAAAACATCTATTAAGACAAAGCCTGTGAGCACATCTGAGTAACTTTAAACCATAACTCTGCTGTAATTGCACGTTTTATGTGGATATATGCTGCAGACTTAATACCTAGGTTTTATGTAAGCCAACCTGGCAAGCACAAAGACCTATACAAATATTAACCGAAACAAAGCCCATAGTTTTGAAGAACTTTAAGTAGCCAGAATTTCCAGTCATATTGCCAATTCCAGACAGGTAACAGTGTATAACCCCTCTACACCCACCCGTGGACACTAATGTCATGCCCATATGGAACTGCCACCATTAATCTCATCAAACACACACAATTAATTCCGTCTGTCTATCTATCTAGGCTCTCCTCTCCATTAGAAATAGAATGCATGGCTGCATACTTTTCTCTAAAGTCTGACTTACAAAGCAGTTTAAAATAAAAATGCTGCAGTTACACACCACCACTAACCCAACTTTAACCATTAATCTAGCACAAGAATTTAGCTGGTAAAGTATAGTGACACTGCTCAATGTTCTTGGGGACCACAGAGGTTTTTGCAGTTACTGTCTTACATTACCATGCCAGACTATTAACCTATAGAGTAACCATTAAGTCTCTCACTTTGGAGTTGCTAAGTGTGCCTCAGACCAAATTCCTATTTCCCTGCACATCTGAAGCAGTCTGTTATTCAGCAAAGGAAATCAGAGTGCGTTCTCTGTTCATGTCAAATTTAAAAAAAAATCATGTATCTTTTTAATATAGGAAGTTTTCTATTTTTACGTCAATGTGTCAGTTACTACTACCCAAAGCAATGTAAGGACATACCCGCTGGAACATGCCAGGAATTACTTTTGTTAACTAGATGACAACTCCTTCCGCTCGTCTGAAAACTAACCAGGTCTTCCAGTGTGCATTTCTCAGTTCTGTGTCAGGCTCGAGGTTATCACAGGCTCCCTTGGTGTTACGGTACAAGATCCTACCTTAATAAAAAAAACACATCATGATTGCTACTTACAGACACACTTAGGGAGTGCTAGAAACCCCAGGTACTTCTACTCGGGCAACTCTTGCTCAGAGTTTTAACAGCTAGCCGGCATGAACACTTCTACAGAGAGGCCCAAAAACGACAAAGATAGATAAGAGATTTTAAAGAGCAATTTTATTCCGCAGCTTCAACGTGAAGTATGTATTTCCAAAGGATGCAGTATAAACAGCAGAGATGGTTGAGAACAGAAAATCAATGTTCTTCGCTCATCATTTCTGTGTCTGTACAGCACAGCCACAAAGCCTCCTGACCCTTCCGCCCTTACCCTTATTTAAGGGTACGTTCAGGTTACAGCCCGGCTGATTTTTCCGCAGCTGTTAACGCTAAGTCCCAACCGTAAACCCTGCGAGATTTAATCGCGTGGCTTCTTCATCATCCACCGCCCCGGTACTGCCCCCCAAATACCGCCAAGTCCTGCGGGGGTCCTCGGCGGATCCCGCAGGCCGCTCCCGCCCCACAGCGCCCATGCCGGGCGGGCAGGGCCGGCACCTTCCACCCGCACCCGCGGCCTCCACGTGGCCGCACGGAGAGCGAGCGACAGAGCTCGGCAGGGCCGGGGCGCGCCCCGAGCCGCACTCCCGGCAGGAAGGCT